CATCATAGCTCACTGTAACTTCAAACTCCTGGGCTCAAGCAATTCTCCTGCCTTAGCCTCCCAAGTAGCTGGGACTACAGGGGATGTGCTACCACACCCAGCTAATTTTTTCTATTTTTGGTAGAGACAGACAGAGTCTCACTCTTGCTCAGGCTGGTCTCAAACTCCTGATTGACCTCAAGCGATCCTCCCTTCTTGGTCTCCCAGAGTGCTAAGATTACAGTGTAAGCCACTGTGCCTGGCCACTTTTCTCTATTTCTTTATCAGTGTTTTCCCAATTAAAATATAAGCTTCATAAGGGCAGAGGCCATATAATCCACTGTTGTATCCTTAGTATCTAACACAGTAACTGGTATGTGTAGACAATAAATACTGAATTAATGCTTTCCCACAACCATGCTGGCTACATTTACCACCTTAAAATGATAGTCATTCAGAACCTATTACCCCAAAGAGCCTCTCGGTCCATCTTATTGTTTTCATGTCACATTGATATTGCATTAATCTGAGGCTATACAACAAGTTCCCAAGAGTAGGCCTGAAGATTTGAAAGCATGTTTTAGAAAGTGAAGCCTGGAATTTGAAGACATGCAAAAAAAAAACACGTTTCTCATTATTGGGCCAGATAAAGGCTCAGTATAGCTCTTATCTTACTCCTTTTCACATATGGGGTCTCACCACATTACCCAAGCTGGAGTATAGTGGCTATTCACAGGTATCATCACAGTGCACTACAGCCTGGAACTCCTTGGCTGAAGGGATCCTCCCACCTCAGCCTTCTGAATAGCTGGGACGACAGGCATACACCACTTTGCCCAACTTCAGAGCAGCTTTTAGTATCTTCAGTTTAAGTTTTTAAGCTACAATATAAATAACTACTCACTGAAAAATATTTTCAAAAGTAAAAAAAATTTTATACAAATGAGGTAGTATTTAATTAAAAGGAACATGATCTTTTTCTTAAAAATTCCATATAGGTTAAGATAAGCTATGAATAGAAACTTATGAATATTTTTATTAGATATTTTTCCATGATATTATTTACCATGATCTCATTTTATTAACAGTCTGTACTATTATATCTAGGAAAAAAATACCTTTTCTCTGGTATTAGACAGTAGATGCAAAATTAATCATTCATAAGACTGTCATTTAGCTGGTCTCTTGAACAATTTTCTAGGCTGGTTTCCTAGGAGGATGACCCACGATCTGAGTGATTTTCTTATAACCAATTTACTTACCAGATCACAATCACCCAGATCTAATTTCTGTAAGGATGAATTAATTTGCAGCATTGCAGCAAAAAACATTCCACCCTTATTTTCAATCTTGTTTCCAGTCATTCTTAGGTATTTCAGAGTTGTATTCTTCTGAAAAGGAAAAGAATCAAAACTTAGTTACTTAAGTTTTTAATCCACAGAATTCTATAAACTACATGAGTTGGGAGACTGTATTACTGTTTGCAAACTCATCAATTTTTCAAGGAGCTAGAGCAGGATATATTCCT